GTGGTGCAGCAGGCGGGCCAGGCGGATGCTGGGGAGTACAGCTGTGAGGCCGGGGGACAGAGGGTCTCCTTCCGTCTGGACGTCACAGGTGGGTGTCACTGTGTTCAGGGCAGAGGTGCAGCTGGCCACTCAGAGGCACGAAGGCTCCTGGTCTGGTTCTCCCAGCCCTGTCTCTGTCCCTTTTATTCCTCTCCTGTCCCCTGCCCTCTACTCTGAGGACAGAGCCCTTTCCCGTGTATTCCCGATGTCTCCTGTCCCCATCCGTGTCCCCGTCCACCTCACTGCCTTCCTCATCACCGGTTCTGTTGGGCTGTCGAGCCTCAAGTTCTGGGGAGAGGGGCCTTGTTCAGGTGGGACCTGAGTGGACCTTCCTGCAGTTCCGAGTCCCTGTGGGCTCTCAGTGTTCTGGCCCGAGGTTCAGGAACCTGCTCTTCCTGGTGCAGGCCCACGGGCCCTATATTGGCCTTGGAGTCCTGGTAGTTCTGCTACCATGTAGCACGTCATCATGGTCCTTGTCTGGAATTGGTTACTACTGCACCCGCCTAGCTGGACTTGTCCTCAGCTGTGGCCCGTGACACACCCGCACATCTCAAGCGCATGGTCTAATTGCAGCTGCTGGGTGAGGCCCTGCTGAGCCATCTTGGTCTCCCCCCACACCCGCCCTAATGTTTGCCAATAGTTTGGCCCCCAGGCTGACTTCTCCGTCAGCCTCTATGGACTTTCAGTCTCCTGCCAGGTCAGGCCAGTCATACTCTGGGGTGCTAATTGCCTACTCTTCCATGTCGTTCTGGCTTGTGGGCTGAAGTCTCCCTGGAGGGCAGGACTCCTGGGTTCTTGGTTGGGACAGCGCTGGTGACGATGGCCCTCAGGAGACATAATGTCCTTGCTGGCCGAACAGCGGGGCAGCAGCTCGCACTCACCGTTGTTGGAGCGTTGTATATGCTGGCCCTTTACATTCTTGCCTACTTCTCCTCAGAACCAGAGCCCGAGTCCCGAATTCCAGAGAGACCCAGCCGCAGGGAGCCTGTGGTGGTCAAGGAACATGAGAACATTGTCCTGACCGCCACGCTGGCCGTGCCCTCTGTGGCTGCTGTGACCTGGCTCAAAGACGGCGTGGAGATTCGACGCAGTAAGCGGCATGAGGCCACCAGCCTGGGTGATACCCACACCCTGACCGTGAAGGGTGCCCAGGTGCTAGACAGTGCCATCTACAGCTGCCGTGTGGGCAAGGAAAGTCAGGACTTTCCGGTGCAGGTGGAAGGTAAGCAATGGTTGGGGGCCAGGAGTCTGGGTCTCCTCCAGGGTCCCTGCGTCTGCCCCAAGGACTAGTAGGCAGTATCCCACAGCAACCCCAGCGGGGAGCTCTGGGCACATGGCCATCTCCGCGGGACACTGGCTGACACCTTCTTCTACCCTCAGAGGTGGCCGCCATGTTCTCCAAACCCCTGGAGCCCGTCGAAGGGGAATTGGGTGGCACCGTGAAGCTGGTCTGCGAGCTGACCCCGGAACAGGCCGAGGTTGTGTGGCGCTGTGGGAGCACACAGCTGCGGGAGGGCAAGCGCTTCCAGATGACATCTGAGGGGCCCAGGCGCACCCTGACTGTGTCTGGCCTCCGGGAGGATGATGCAGAGGAGTATGTGTGTGAGAGCCGGGATGACCGAACCAGCTCACGGCTCACTGTCAAAGGTACCCGTGGGTGAGCTAAGGTGGCTTCCTGGGGGCGAGGTCCTTCCGTGTGTCTGTCCCGGGTGTGTCTCTGCAGAGCCTCTCCCGTGGCCTCCTAAGAAGACTTTCCCTTCTGCAGTTCCCCGGGTGGTCAAGTTTACATCTGGATTGAGCGCCGTGGTTGTCGAGGAAGGTCAAGAGGCCACCTTTCAGTGTGTCGTGTCCCCCGGCGATGCAGCAGTCACGTGGTACAAGGATGGCGCCCAGCTGCTGCCCAGCAAGAAGTTTGTTATGGCACAGAGTGGGGCCACCTGTAGCCTGACCATCTTGGGTCTGACCCTGGAGGATGCTGGCCGTGTCACGGTGGAGGCCGAGGGCGCCTCATCTTCCGCTACCCTCCGGGTCCGAGGTAAGCTGGGGGCTGGCAGGACGGCCAGGATGTCCCGTGGCTCCTCGCAGTAGGTGCCTTTCCCTCCCCGTGAGCTGACCAGACAGCGCCATATTGTTCTCTTGTCGGGGGCTGATCTGGCTGACATGAACTCTGTCGGCTATGGACAGAGGTGATTTGGTGGTGGTGGTGGTGGTGTGTGTGTGTGGGCGTGCTAGGTGCCGTCTCTTCAAGTGTACCTGGCAGGGGGTAAGGCTGAGACAATCCAGAGAGACCTCTTTCTGGTTGAGGCTGCGATGGCCAAGCAAGGGGGAGGCTGTGCTGGAAAGCTCTCAATAGCGGGTGGGGTGGGTGTGCTTCGAGAGGCCGGGCTTTATCCGAAGACGCGGCCAGCGTGGCAGGCTCTTGAATGTGGGGGCCATGAAGGTGGCTGTACCTCCCAGGGGAGGGGGAATGATGGGTCAGCTGGGCCCACATGGAGCCTTTCTCCTCCCCATATATCTTAGCATGAGCAAGTGTCCTGGGGCCCTGTGAAAGGGCAGACAGTGGGGCAGTGTCTGAGGGGTTGTGGAGTAGCCCTACTCAGGGTGCTGAAGGCTGGCTGTTGATGGCATCTGGCCACAGTTAGGAGTTCAACACAGCTGGCTGGAGCAGAGAAGCAGGGCTTGTGACGTGGGTGCGGGT